TAGGCTTTATAACAAACTTTATATGGTTAATTTAATAATAAAACTGTAGGCCATTATTATTGGTAGCATCACATTATTCTCATTATTATTATTGTTACTTTTAGAAGTGCCTTTGATGTTTATGTTTATATTCTATATATTTTTATATTTATCTACATTATATAAATTTTGTATTCTTCATTTCTTCTTACACATGCACCCATTCGAAGATAGAGAGAGAGAGAGAGAGAGAGAGAGAGAGAGAGAGAGAGAGAGAGAAATATTATCAAAAGTTAAAGTACATTATTATCGGCATAGCGTAAATTAATAATCGAAGAATATTAATATTATATATTAATACTAATATTTAATAATAATATTATTTCCTTGATGTACTTCAATTTTGAATATTCGATTCACTGTACTTATTGTACTGGAATATCAATTACTTTATTAATTTATTCCTTACTGTATCTAGAGGTTTATGTATTATTTTCTTTATTTATATCAAAGCTTACAGATGAACTTTCCATTATTTATTTTTCAATTATACTACATCAATGTATCCGCATATGCTTTGACACGATGCCGATTTATTATAGTTCATTCTAGATGTGTTTAAGCGCCAGTTTCATAACAGTAATATTAACAATAATAAATTACCTATCTTCCGTGCTTTATACACGATTAAGTATTATATTTCATTTTACTCTGTATTCAAATAACTGTTTCATACTAAATTGTTTAAAAGCAAACTTTCCCGTACCTTTTATTCAACATACTGTGTGTACTTCACAATCAAACGGCACTTTTTTTTTTTTTTTTTTTTTTATGATATAATTTACAATTTCTAAGCATAATCCACTGTAGATACTTTTAATTGAAAAGATAGTATTGAGAATATCTTCTCTTTATCAAACGATGATTAGATATAAACTTCAGCATAATTCTAATCGTTAAAATCAATGTTTTTTATTTTATTTGTACGTTTTAAATTCAGTAAATTTGAAAGATAGTAAAACAGATTTATTTGGTTTGCATGTAAGCCACTTATGGGTTTATTGTAATGGAGAGATCGAAATAAATCATGAGAAAATTCTTAAGAAAATAAGAAAGAACATTAACATTAACAAGAAATTGCTCTGCTCTACATACATTTGCGGTATTGGAAATCTCCATTAGTAGTTCTATTATCAATAAATATTGCATTTTATATTTTACTCGCTGCGTACAGTTATCAGCATGTCGTGTTAAATTCTTTAGTAATAAAAATGAATATGAATACAAATTATTCTAGTCTTTTTATTTCAAATTATTTTAGGATATCTGAAATGATTTATATATACATTGAATTGGTGACATTAAAGTTATTTCTATGATAATACAACAATAATTTGTTTAGTTTATAATTTATGTTCATAATAATGTTATAGTTATAAAATGACATTTCCATTTACAACGTATGATTGATATAAAATTTATCAGCATTATTCTAATTTCTTAATTATTATTAAAAAGCAACTTAAAATACATAGTTTTATTATACATTTTTATTCATTAAAATAATATATAGTACTTGAAATTGATATAATATGTACGTGTAAAATTAGAATTTGTTATTAGAAGTTGTTATTACATTACATAATTGTATAGATCTAATGTGACAAAATTATTTGTAATTATTTCTTAAAGTAATTTAATAAAATAAATGTAAAATTATATGGTACATATAATTTAAATTTTTAAAGTTGTTTCTAATATTTTTCTATTCTTCTATTATTTTCATTATTCACTTTTTGATAAAATATTTATCTTTAAATTATTTGTGTACAAATTATTAAATTAGTAACGAACTTTTAACATGGTATGTGTGGATATCGTATAAACGATGTTGACAAAAAAAAAAAAAATAGCTTCTTCATCAAATATTTGTATTACATTTATTTTGTATTTAATTAAATTAATCTTAATACTTATTTTCTATATATATATATATATATATATATATATATATATATATATATTACTAATATATAATAAATTTATTATTTAAATAAGTAAAGAAATTTTATTTTGAATCGAAAGCGTAACCAGAACAGTTACTTAATATAAGTGTTTCATGAATCAAGATAATATGTTAATATGAATATCATGTATAAAGTATAAAATAAATAATTTAACATATCATACACATTATAAATATTTTGATTCGTTAAAATATGGCAATTGAAACATAAATTAAACTTTATGATTATTATTTTCTAGATAAAGAGAAATTAATTCTCGTTATTCTTACGGTAAGTATCTGATATAATTCATGATAACATGGATTAATTAATGTTATTGCTTGAGCTATACTTAGATATAAAGCATGGATTATAGTATTTTATATTTTTATAGGTTTAATAATCCTTGCAGCTATTAATAATTTTACTAGAAATCACAAGAAAATGAAATAATAAAATATTTATTAAGAGATAAAGAATTAAGATTCATGTCATTGATTTAATAATCATATATATTATTATAATATTCCTTGAGCGTAATAATTAAAATATTTTAATTAGGCGGTAAATCATCATTACATTGACCGGTAAATCGAGTTAAACTATAAAAATCAGATTATAATTATTTAAAATAATTTTCTATAATAATTAATTTAATTTTAAACTAAATTAACGACAAAATTAAATATTTAAATCATTGTGAATTTTTGTAATAGAAAACTTAAAAAAAATTTATTACATTTTATTTACATTAACGTAGCTTCATTGATAAAGTCCATAATTTTTATAATACAAAATGTATCATAAAAAATTGTATAAAAAAATTGTTTAATAAGAAAATAATTCCGTACAGGCTTAATTACGTGTGTCAGTGGAATACAATAGCCATTGAATTCGATATTATCACATTACCTACAACTTTCTTTTCTCATAAACATTGCTATTTGCATATTAAGATTTACTTGCGAATATTTTTTATTAACATGTTAATTTGTGTGTGTGTGTGTGTGTGTGTGTGTATTAATATTATCTCATTTTAATTGACAAGTCAATAATATTATGAAACGGAAATACTTATTATCGAAAAGTCGTATATAATAATATAATTATTATAACGGTAATTAAAAAATAAAAAAATTTTTTTCTTAATATTTCCTTTTAATATCGATTGGATGAATTTTCCATTAATATTGTGAAATTGTTCTATTAAATATCCTTTAAAATAAAAAAGAATTATTTAATTATAAATTACGTATTTTAAACTTAAATTTATTCAATAAATTTAATATCTTAAAGCTATTATACCTTTAATTATATGTTGCTATAAAGTAAAAAATTAAGGAACCCCCTTTTCTAATCCTATATGTATGAATAATATATTTGAATAAATATGATCCTATTTATATCAAGATTGTCTCTAGTGTTTCAAAGAAATTAGTGCATAAAACTTTAACGTAAAAATAATATACGAGAATTTATTTATAATAATCAATCTATAGATTAATATAGAAACGGTAAAATGTAATAATATTATATTGATAAAATATGTATGATAATGATTTAAGACACAAGTAATTTTCCTAAGAAATTTCATATATTTAAGCAATAAATTATATTAAAATTTAAAGGTCTTGAAGGCGAATCAGTTAACTATGTGATTGTATAACTTTTAATGAGAAATTAAAAAAATTTTTAAATAAAATCTACCATTATAATAATAATTAATAGTATATCTATTGATATTCATAATATATATATATATATATATATATATATTTTTTTTTTTAATTTTACAACAACGACACATGAATGTTATAATACTTATTATTTTGAAATACTTAATGCAAAATATTGTATAATAAAAGCAAACATAATAATTGAAAATTATAATTGCGCTTATCGATGATCGCATGTAGTTTTATATTTACCGTATAATTAATATTCATAGTAAATTTAATGTAATATAACAAGATTTTCAATTTAACGAAATCAAATTTTATTGGAATATTATTTCACACTTATATATTTACGATACAATGAAATTATTTTCGATATTTTCATTAATATTTTGAAGTTTGCTGACTTTTTTTTTTTTTTTTTTTTTTTTTTTTTTTTTTTTTTGCTTTTGTTTAAAGTGTAATTATATCATAGTCGTATGGAAAGTAATGATTACTAATTAGTTTTGTCACTCTTATCCTATTATATTTTGGAATAAAGTATGTACTCATATAAAATCTAATTATAATAGACATTTACTTTAATAGGCACTACATTATTAGACAAAAAAATATTGACACAAACGATTATAATAAATAAATTCAGTTATTTAAAGTAGAAATACGCAAGCGTGTAATGCGTGCGATAACGACATTGAATAATTTTAATATTTCTTTGTTAAATTACCCTAATAAATATATTAAATTGAAGGGGTAAGTAAAGTTTAATAGCCAAATGTCAAAACAGTAATTGCGGAAATTTCTCACAATATAAGCCTGTGCTTTCTTACAAAACCGACAAATGACAAATGTTTGAAGCTTCGGGCATTCCCATTGGCCATAATCCCCATTCCAAATATTAAAAAATCCTTCGTTATTTCTTTTTACTATTTTCTTGCATCTCGTTTGTTCAATCAATAAAATTACTAAATCATAATCCGCTAGATTTTCATATTCTCCTCTTCCTTATTTGTCAGCTTCTAATGGATTATTGCATTTCTCGCGAGACCCTTGAAACCATGTCTGAAAATCTAATGCATATTAGGATGAACTTAATAACAGGCCACAGCATCCTTATAGCATTATAAAGTTTCGAATGGCTGGTAGTATTAATTTCGGAATAGCCGAGGTGATAAATGTCAGGATCGGGCTGGTAAAATACCGAAAGAGATATTTTAAATGTCCATCGATAGAGAAGCGACCGAGATAACACGCCCACAAAAAGTCCCTGTGTCCGCGAAGAGTCGAAAACGAGCGCACGGACTTAAGGCCGGAAAGTACTTTAAAAGTCTGCTCTGTGGCTCAAAGCCGGCCGTTGTGTATATATAGGAGTACTCGACCGAGGGAATCATCGTAGTTCACTGGTGAACGTCGTAAGTCGAGCATCGCTCCCGCAGGTACTACTTGTCGCTCTTCATTTTCTTCTTCTTCTTCTTCTCCTTCTTCTTTTTGTGCTTCTTTATTCCCGTCTATTTATCATCAATGTCTTCGTCTGTTTTTATATTTATCAGTACATTCGAATTACACTTACCGAGTCTAATTTATTATCTTGAGCTCAATGTGTGGTGATTAATTGTTCAACAGTGTTTCAACGTAGTTTGTAAATTAGGACATTTTCGTCCCTAGTTTTATTAACACTGATTTTTCCTACCTGGAAATTTTACTTTGTGCCTCGCTAGTTTACACGAATATCTAGTTTGGTGATTTGTGCATTTAGCGCTTACTCTTCTAATTGCAAAGACCTATTAAACGAGTCTTTAGAATTGTTCCACTTTTTCCCCCTTCTTTTATTCCTTTTCACTAAATATATATATATATATATATATATATATATATATATATATATATATATATTATAATCGCTTGATATTTACATTATTTATAAGGATTTTCAAAGAATTGAAAATAAAATTAATTTATTGCTAGGGCATTCTGTTAATAATGCGGCAATTTAATATTTAATTATTCATTATTGACGTGCTTTAAATGCTAATGATTTAAATTGCAATTTTCATTATCTATAAAAATAATAATGATAGTGATTAACAAGCATAAATTTACAAAATAATTTTAGAACGTAATAGCAAACGATATGTCGACGATTTAAATGCAAATATTTTTATTAAAAATACAGATATTAGTAATATGAATATGTAATTTATTGTAACTATGAAGGTATTATTAGATTTTAAAGGTGCGTGAAAAAGAAAATAAATTTTAATAAGAGAAAATGTTATAATTTAAATGATTTTCAAATTCTTTCCATAACATTCTATCCTACAATTTATAATAATGGGTATTTAAGTAAATGAATTTAATAATTTATTACACTTCCGTTAATCGTATATAATAGATTTTTTGTAAAACTAGTCACGAATATGTGTACTTGGAGAATGTGAACGTGAAAATTAAATTTTTATGACATAAAAATTCTAATGTACTCTTGTACGTGTTTCCTCGCATAAAATGAAAACTTTTAAACAAAAAGGAAGCGTTGATGTCATTCTTTTAAATTTCATTAGCTTAAAGTTAACATAAACTACTTAAGATATTATCTTGGTGCTTACCTAAAAGAGTATTTCGACTTACTCTGAAAACTTTGCGAAGCATTTACAATCGACGGGCATGAATTAAGAGAAATATGAAGAATTGGGGACTTGTCAAGTAGAACCGGTTCGTATGAAAGTTGGTCGAACTTGAGGCCCTTCGTGATACTTTTAAAGTCATCTAATTGAAAATGGTCTCTGCTGCTTCATCAAAGCCTAACAATAAGATAAAAGTGTTTATTTATGCAATAATTTATTTTTTAATATATGCGTGCATTTTTCATTGCTACGTGTGTACAATTCTTCATTATTTCGAATATCGGTTTTAATTTTTATATCCTTGTTCAACGAAACACATATTCCTATTCATAATTAGAATATAATATTATATATTCGCATGTGTATACGACTGTATATAAAAAATATAACAACTTAATAATAAGATAATGTAAATTGTATATATGTATATACTAAACATTTATTATAAAAGGTAATCGGAAGAAATAGGAAAACTTGTGTTTCATAGTCCTTAAAAAGATAACATTGTAAATACGTCTATTAATGCATAAATAATTTAAAATTCTAATTTGACAATTTCATAATTTCATATATTATTACACAATACGTATAAAGTATAAGCCTATTAAAAAAAAAAAAAAAAAAAAAAAAAAAAAAAAAAAATAATAATAATAATAATAAAAAAAAAATCTTTATTTTTACTGTAGATTTAAGAGTACATTATTATTATTATTTTTTTTTTTTTAACAATGCATAGCACATTTACGAAATCGCTAAATATTATTAATTATTAATTACAAGAAATGTAGCGATTAAAGTCTTCTATGTTTTTATATTATTCGGTATCCGAAAGAAAAAAGAAAGACTCAATGCCGATATCATTAATCTTCTTTCAAAATTCATTAATATTCAAATATTCGATGCTTAATCGGTGATGCTTGGACAATTGAATAATTAGCTCCAATAATCTTTAAGTATAATCAGAATCAAATTCATCATGACCTCTCGATTTCGACTTTCTGTTGGGTAGAACAGAAGCAATTCAACAGCAACATGATACGATTTCTAATCTTGGTCGGAGTCTTCGTTGCCGCAACAACAGCGCAGCAGCCAAGTGGACGAATCTTAGAGCCGCCCGTTCCTGTGGCCTGCGCTCAAAGTGAGTCTTATTTACTTTAAAATTTTACATTTCAACAATTTTGAAATAATACAATTGGACATGAAAATATTTTGTGTTGGTTTTTTTTTTTTTTTTTTTTTTTTTCTACTACTTCAAAGCTAATATTATTTCGAAATTTTAAAAGCGAAAAGGTGTGTTTGAATAGTTTTTAAGAGAAGCAATTTCACGTTCTAATATTGCCAGTTTAAAAGCAAAAATAAAACATCGAAATTATTATTTGAACATTTAGTTGCTTTACAAATGTATTTTTATCATAATGCAAAAATAGTCGTTTATGGAATTTCAAGAAATATTTAAAATTTTTCACTTCATAAACACTTACATTGACATTAAATATAATAATATTTCCTTCTTGTAGATTATTGATATGTTTTATTTTTAAAAAATTTAAAAAGCAATAAATTATTACACATTATCACGTGTAATTATTTTCAAAAACTAAGTGATTACTCATAAAATGTGCCAATGTTGTAATTATATTTTACATAGAGTACTTATATAATACGGAATATTCAAATTAATAAGAAAAATAGCAAATTCATTAAATTTTTTAACTATTTCAATTCATTTTATGTAAAATATATGTTCTTAATTGATTATTTAAGAATAATCGTGAAATGACGATTGGCAATAGAATGAAGATCAAGGAATTACATTGAATTCTATGGTTTTAATATCTACTGATATATCGATAAATTCACAGGCTATTTGTGAATGAAGTTTTTCATTGATAAATATCTATTAAATGATTAAGGAATCTATTAAATGGCACATGATTTAAAAAATGATATATTAATAAAACGAATGTATTTAATGTTTCTTAATATAATATTTTAAAGCTAATATTTCGTAGAGTTTTATCACTTTTATAGCACCGGGATTTAATGCCCCTTACAATAAACAATATGTATATAATTATATTTTGTTTGATATAATTAACTTATTTTATTAATATCATCAATATTTTTAGAAATATAAAAATTTTAAGTTTTAATACAAGCGTAATGACATTCTCTATATAACTTATTATGGGCGTTAAAAAGTAATTCGATTATATCGTATATTTGAAATTTTACTTAAAAAATTTTTCATTTAAACGATTTGAAATTGTAGAGTTATTAGGAACTGCTATTATTAATCGAAGATAGTTAAATTATTGTAAAATTATTCCTCGTCTAAATGTACTTTAAAGCAAACGAATAAAAACTGTAACCAATTCATGTATTTTCTAAATATAGTCTAAATATAGTAAGTTTGTAATTTTTTTTCCAATTATTCATTTATCGAATGAACGATTTGTAAGGGACGATTTACGCGAAGAGGAAAAAAAAATAGAGAGAGAAAAAAAGATTTGTTATTCATTATTTGATAGAGTAACTAACTGTTTAGTAAGAAAAACGTCATGGATACGATCAATTTTTCAATCCTTTTCAATACCCAATTTACAAAATCATGAAGATTTATAAAAATAGGAATAAAAGTATTTCGGCATATGTTTACTTATATCCCGGAAGTGTGATGACCGAACACACTTTAATGGCTTTCATCGTTGGAACATCAATCGTCGAGTTTTAAGAAAGGCGCGGTGACACTTTCACAAATTAAGATTCACGCATTAAATTTATGTATGGTAAAACCGTTCTTTATAGAAAGCACGTGCACATACCTTCTCGCAAATAAGTCCTGTGTATAAATATATGTGTATTTATGCAACTATGTATTACCGTAAGCGCACGATGAGAATTTTCTCAAGGTAGTTACGGAGAAATTATTAATAAAAATAATCAACAGAATGAGCGTATTGACATTGCAGTATCGTTAAAGTTTTATAAATTATCGGCGAGTATGTAAATTGTAAGTTAAACCATTCGATTAATAAATTGTAAAATTGCATAATTATGATTGGTAATGATTACCGGCGATTAAATAGTTATTTTTTAAAGGAAATATACGAAGGCTTTTCGAATAAATTGCTAATTATTTACTGTATATATAGAGAATATGTTATTTGTTCTAGAAACACATTTATCTATGTTTATTCAAGATTAATTCAAACAAAAGGATAGATCAAAAAGAAAAAAAAAAAAAAAAAAGAAAAACTCGTTTTATTACTCATTGAGAAATAGTAATATGATTATAATTGTAAATTGATACATCGATCCATATCTCTGTTATCGCATGCACCATGAAATGCATAGGAAATCTTTTGTTCCCTCATTGATCGAGAAAATTTCGAAGTATCGTGCCCAAATTTACAATGACCGCATAAATTTAGTAAGCAAAAATGTTCATATTATTGCATTGTTATTATCGCATTTAAATATATTTTAAACATATATTTTTAAGTATTTATATTGTTTCAATTTAAAGTCGATGAGTACCATACACGTAGTATTGATTCTCATATGAATTTCATAATTGAAAATCTTTGATTTTAAATAATATATTAAATTTAAACTGAAAATTATTCAAGCAACTGTTAATAACTTTAATGTTTGAAAAAAAAAAGTTTTCATTCGTGTTGTCAAAAACAAAAACAAAAACAATAAAAAATTATTCTTTTTTCTCTTAACTATTAAATCACGATAAAGTAGGCAATAGGCAATGAAAAATTTTTGCCTTCATTACAAAACAAAAACAAACACACACACAAAAATATTTAATAAAGTACAAAGCCGTAATGTTATATAGACTTTCTCCTTACCGTCCTTATTGCTTATTAGAAGAAGAAATATACGAAAAATCAATAAAGAAATCCATTATTTTGAGATTTATATGTGAAAGTAGTCCTTATTATCCAATGAAGTTAACTTGATCTCTGGTCTACGTTTCATCAGGATTCGATCGACGATTAGTTCTGAAAAGTAATGAAAAAAAAAAAAAAAAAAAACTTTTGATAAACAATCCCGACGGGAGTTCCCACCAGTAAGCGCCATTAGCTAAGAATAATAAACGAATAAAAATTCTTTCGTTCAAAGTATTTAAGAAGCATCTTGGAACGTATGTAACATCATGATGTGCTATTACAATTTCAGTCGCTCGCCGACTTTTCCTTTTCCCTTTCTCCGCTCGCATAATCTAGCATCCAGCTGCTAGACTCGTCCTCAAACAACCTCAACAAACGCGAAAAAAAGAAAACGGAAATAAGTCGCACACGGACACTTTCACATTGACAGAAACGTGGCAACCGCAAGGTCCCGAGATGAAATTCCAATAAGCTAGCGACGCCTCCTGCATTCCTTAATGAGCTTTCATCGCAATGTGCGTGGCTAAGTACGCGCGCGGGAAATACACTGTACATTATTTACAATCTGTTAATCGCATCGACGTTCCATTATCGTCCATTTTCCTTTCTCGATTATTATCTCGATCTTTTAATGACTTTTCACTACCTTGAACACCATATTTTATTGTACATGTAATAAAATATGGTCGATTGATTATAGTGCCGTGACAGCAAAGTTATAAAAGAGTATAAAAGCCGGATTTTTTGTTGTTGTCGTTGTTGTTTAAATTAAAAACGCGAGATTCTTCATAGTTCCGGCTTCGTATCGTTACATCTATAATTAATTAATATTTGGATTATAATTGGTTTTTCGGTTACATTTTACAGCAATGGCAGTTTGTCGTGCAATTAAAGTAACGTGTGATTATTCTCGAGAGATAAATGTATTCTATTTACATATCACTAAGGATATTTAGCAATTTTTATGAAAATAAGTTTATTAAACGAGTGAAATGAATTGCTTTAGATAGGTTACGTTGATGAAAATTTTTCTTTTTGCTCGGACAATTTTAATATTCCAATGATAAAGAGGTCGTTAAAACAATAATTGGTCATGCCCAGAAATAATAAATTATGGTTGTAAATTATTAATTTCTTATTATTGTACATCTTATACATTGGGCATATTTGTAATGTTTAAATTCAAAAAGAATATCTTATATCCCGGTTGTTAGCAAAACGGTTAGTGAAAAACTCACATTAACAAGCTTATCGATTATATTTAAATGGTTAAGGAGAAAACGTACCCATTCATTTCAAATACCGTACAAGCATTTACATTTTATCAAACAAATGTTTTACTAATGATTTTTTAATCTCTTTTCTCTTTCTCTTCTATTACTTTATGAATTTTTTTTTTTTTTTTTTTTTTTTTTTTTTTTTTTGTCACTGTAGGTCAACAACGGCACTAAATCGCATATCAAACGGGTCATCACGATTTCCCTCAAATAAAGTGAGACAGAGAGAGAGAGAGAGAGAGAGAGAGAGAGAGAGAGAGAGAGAGAGAGAGAGAGAGAGAGAGAGGGCAGGGGGGTTGG